CCGTCGCGGCCGCCGCCGCCGCGCGGCTGCGCGCGAGCGGCGCCGGCCGCGGGCGGCACAACTGCCACCACCTCCTCCACACGCGCGCCCTCGACGGCCTCCACTTCTCATACTCGGTCGGCGATGATGCTGGAATACAAACCCTGGTCGGGACGATCCGGGGGGCGGTGTTCGAAACGGAGGGACCTGCCGGGAAGCTGCTGCCGACAGTAGGGAAGCTGGCGTCTGAGCTGGGCGCACCCCTTGAGGTGGCGTCTGGGAGCAGGGTGTATCTCACAGATTTGGGAGACGGGGTCAGCCTTGAGCACGTGAGGCGCGAGGCGCTGAGGATGATCAAAGGCTCTGGTGGCGGCGGCGGCGCTGCGGCAAAGCAGCGGCGCGGGCGGCCGCCGCGGGAGCAGCGGGCGGGGCAGGAGCAGCAGCAGCGGCAACAGCAACACAAGCAGCACGAGCAGCGAGGGCAGCAGGAGGAGCGAGGGCAGCAGGAGGAGCGAGGGCAGCACGAGCAGCAGGAACAGGGGCAGCGGCGGCGGCAAGAACAGCACCCACACCACGACACGCAGCAGCACCACCAACAACAGAGCCCAGAGCAGCAGCAGCAGCAGCAGCAGCAGCAGCAGCAGCAGGAGCAGCAGCAGCAGCAGCAGGTGCGGCAGTGGCCACACCAGCAGCAGCAGCCGCCTCAGCAGCTGCAGCAGCCGCAGCAGCAGCCGCAGCAGCAGCAGCAGCAGCAGCAGCAGCAGCAGCAGCACACCACCCACCCGCCGGCGGCGCCCACGCCGCAGGGGGCGCCCTTCTCCCCCATCAAGTTTGAAGGGCTCTTCCCCTCAGGGGCGGCCGGGCCAGGGGCGGGTCTCCCCACAGGCAGCACCCCTCTGGGCACCTTTGGCGCCGGCGCCGCCGCGGCCGGCGGCGGCCGTGCAGGCATCCTTTACGTGGACTTGGTGGGGGCCGACGGCGCCGACGGCGCCCGCTGTACCACCCGCGCGCTGCGGCGGCGCCTGACGCGAGTCCAGAACGAGATCGCCGGCCGCGCAGCCGCCGCGGCCGCAGCAGCCTGCGCCATGCCGGGCGACGGCGGCTGCGCCGATGCCGGGGCCGAGGCGGGTGCCGCGCGAGCTGAGGCTGAGGCGGCGGCGCGGCGGCAGGCGTTGGTGGACTTGGTGGATGACATGCTATCAGACCTGGTCGCGGCGGAGCGGCTGCGGCGCGGCGGCGGCGGCGGCGGCGGGGAGGGCGGCGGCGGCGGGGCTTTTGATGTGGAGGCGGCGATCGCTGAATATGTGAGTCGGCGGGGCTGTGTGGATGGCGGTCTGTCGTGCCCGCGACTCGCGTGTTGCCCGTCGCTGTGTGTGGCGGCGTGGGGAGGGCAGTAGGGCCACGCAGCACAGGGGAAAGCGGGCGGCAGGAATTGGGTGGTTGCAGCTCCTGCCCAGCCGCGGATTACGCACGGACGCCCCCTGAAACCTCGAGGCCTAAACCCCAAACCCCGAACACACCGCAGGACCTGACCGGGGCGCTGGAGGCGGCCACCAATTTTCGGCTGTCTGAGGCGCAGCTGGCGCGGGTGCAGCGGCGGATGGAGGACAACCGCCAAGACATGCGGGAGGCGCTCGGCCCGCCTCTGCAGTGACGCGTTGACAAGTGAGCTCGCCAGCTGGTTGGAGTTGCAACGTAAACTCTGCACAGGGAAAGGCGGCCGTCGCGCCTGGGTTTGCTGTGACTTGTGTGCAATGCAATTCCGCTGATTACGAGAGCCCTTGCGCACGAGACCCTGGCCCCTGGCGCAGCCGCGCAGCCTTGGTGCGAGCGAAGCGAGCCGCCCGCCCGCCCGCCGCGCCCGCGCTCGCGCCCAACGCGCGCTGGTGCGTGGCCGCGCCCTCCTCGGCTCCTGGGGGCGTTGGGCGGCGCGGTGTTTGGGTGGCATGCATGCCCGTTTGTATACTGGAGTGTGTGCGTGCAGAAAGAGTCAATTCACCATACGGTTGCCGAAACGGACAGACAGCGTCAAGAAATCCTGGGGGAGGACGACAGGGGCAATTGGCCAGGCGGGTGGGTTGCCATTTTACAGCTGGATTGAGGGGGGGGGTGGGGGGTGAGGCAGTGCCTAGGCAGGATCTGGGATGTATATGAGGTACACTCGTAATTACAACTGAAATCAGAGATCTGGTTGGGGGATTGGGGCGCAGCCGCCAAGGGGCGGGTCGACTCGGCGTGTGCGTGACGACCTGTATGTGGGGCAGTGCTGGGCTGTCACGTTTCGCAGAGAGCGTCGCACAACGAGCGGCCCAAAGCGCTGCAAACCAACACTGCAAGGTATTGGAGGGAAGGTCGAGGGTGGAGGCGGAACCCTCAAGCGGCAGCCGGGCGTTGCAGGCGTTGGTGTGCGGGCAGCGACCCTCTGGCTGCCGGACAGCGTCACCACGGCCGAACGCCGGTGACGTGGGGCGACGGAACAGAAGTGGAGCCTGATGAATCCACGTTGATCCGAATCTCTCATATTGTACTCCGAGCCTTGCGTGCGGCTATGATCGCAAAGGCCCAGCCTGTCGCACGCATTGGAAGACGGGTGCCCTCGCCCCAAGCACCGAATCCCTATCAAAAGCCTTAGAATCGTGTTGAGCTTTCGATTGCGAGGTCTCATTGCAGGGTCGGACAAGACTGGGCATTGATACAGGGGGAGAGGGTCACCTGGTGCGCTCGGTGGGAGCCTTCGCGCGCCAGATGCACATTACAACGTGATAATGCTATGCAGATTCATCTTTTTGGTCGCCGCGCTGCGCGGGCATGAGACGCCGCAGCGCGGCCGGGCGTTTTGGGCTCTGCTGACCCGGACTCACGTCTGCATAACACTAGACACTGTTGCCCTTGATCGCCAGGCACAGATTGAAGGACACAAGCCTCGGCGCGCACAGTCGGGAATGGGCGCCTGCGCGAGCGCGCCCGCTGCGGACGGCTCCAGCGGCGGCGGCAGCGGCCGCGGCCGGCCGCCGTCGCGCAGCGCTTCCAGC